TGACACCTCTCCTTCACTCTTGGAGGGTTTTTGGGGAGAAGGCGTGTGAAATTTTGTGGAGGCTCAGAGATGGTTGGAGTGTGTGGAAAGAGGCAGCGCAGGACCATGTCCAGAACAGGACCCATCGTTTGCACAGTGTCTGCCTGGTAAGAATGAGCAATAAACAGAAAACACCGGGGGACGCCGGAGTGAGAGAGATGGAGACAGATAGAGAAGCAAAGAGAAGGAGACAGTAATCAGGGAGACGAGGAAGAAGGAAGGCAGCGGAAGAGCGACAGCGAGGGCAATAGGGTGAAGGAAACAGAAACAATGAGCAAGAGGAAGGAGGAAGCGATGGTGGAAACAGGATTGCTTGGAGAACAACAAGGAGACGGAGAAAATCAAGAAGAAACGAGAAGAGGTGGGGCAGGACACTTGTTTTGTTATCCACTGTTCGCTTTCCTCGCCCTTACGCTTACTTCCCGAGCATCGCTCACTCCTTTCTTCCACGGTCTTTGTCCTTCATTTCCCCTCTCTATCTCTCCATCCTCTCTCTAGCTCTCCTTCCTTTCTTTTCCCACGTTCGTTCTCCTCCTTTCTCCGCTCTCCCTTTTCTCGTGTCCACCCCACGAGCCTTTCCTCCTCTCTTCTTTGTGTCATTAGGGGAGTAGCACAAGGGCAAGGTTAAGCAAGGAGAATGAAGGGAATGATGAGATGGAAGGAGGACTTCCCCTGCCCCTTCTAACCAGCTTCCACAGCTCTCTACATGTCTCTGTGTTCTTTTCTCTTGTTTTGTTCTTAGCAATGTGGGGAAAGGGTCCTCCTCTGACACCTCTCCTTCACTCTTGGAGGCCCCTTGGGGACGCTCTCTGAAGGCCGCCTGAAACTCTTGGGGGAAGCTCAGAGGGTTTGGAGTGTGTTGAAAGAGGCAGTGCAGGGCCATGTCCAGAACAGGGCCCATCGTTTGCACAGGTTCTGCCTCGTAAAGTCAGAAAGGATGAGCAATGAACAGAAACACAGGGCGGCGCCGGAGTGAGAGAGATGGAGACAGATAGAGAAGCAAAGAGAAGGAGACAGTAATCAGGGAGAAGAGGAAGAAGGAAGGCAGCGGAAGAGCGACAGCGAGGGAAACAGGGTGAAGGACACAGAAACAATCAAGAAGAGGAAGGAGGAAGCGATGGTGGAAACAGGATTGCTTGGAGAACAACAAGGAGACGGAGAAAAGCAAGAAGAAACGAGAAGAGGTGGACACTTGTTTTTGTTATCCACTGTTCGTTTTCCTCACCCTTACGCTTACTTCCCGAGCATCGCTCACTCCTTTCTTCCACGGTCTTTGTCCTTCATTTCCCTTCTCTATCTCTCCATCCTCTCTCTAGCTCTCCTTCATTTCTTTTCCCACGTTCGTTCTCCTCCTTTCTCCGCTCTCCCTTTTCTCGTGTCCATCCCACGAGCCTTTCCTCCTCTCTTCTTTTTGTCATTAGGGGAGTAGAACAAGGGCAAGGTTAAGCAAGGAGAATGAAGGGAATGATGAGATGGAAGGAGGACTTCCCCTGCCCCTTCTAACCAGCTTCCACAGCTCTCTACATGTCTCTGTGTTCTTTTCTCTTGTTTTTATTCTTAGCAATGTCGGGAAAGGGTCCCTTGGGCCTAAACCCTAACGCCTAAACCCTCGTGAGTATTTCGGCCTCGGGAATGGCTTGACGAAACGTCGTGACGCGACAGAAAACGAAAGTCTTCAACTATGATAACAGGCCTAGAAGCGTATATGCAAATTGATTATTAACCAAGAGCAAATGCCAAATAATACATAAAGGTCCATGCCACTTAGGGTTTAGGGTTTAGGGTTTAGGGTTTAGGGTTATTCCCTTATGGTCCTGTTGTAACTATACTACGATAACACGCAAACCCTATTCTAATTATTCAGGCCCCCTACGTGACACACGCCAACTGCAGAACACAAAGCAAACATGACCTGGCGGGCGCTTTCCTTCCATAGGGGCCCAAAAAACCGCATAAACATGCAGGGCTTTTCGGAATCTCCCTTCTTGGGGCCCTTATACCCCAATAGGAGGATCCTTATGCCTATGCGGTTTTTGGTGCCCCTATTCCACTCCCACGCAAGCCGCTGCCTTCTTCGCCTTGTCCGCGTCCTCTTTTGGTGCTGGGTCCTCCTTCTCGGCCTTCTCAGCCTTGTCAGCTGCTTACATGCATGGGGATTTTACCCCCTTATACGAAGAGCCCTTCAAAGGGATTATAGTAACCCAATATTGCCAACCCCTAGTAAGGACTGCGAGCATAAGCGGGATAATCCCAAGACATTGTGCACACAAGCCATACTGCGACACCGGTTGATGTATAGAGACGCAGTAACGAAGTAGGCCGGCCACCATGGAAAGCAAGCATAACACCATGCCCCACTCAGGTCTCTCAGCAGCATCACGGGCCTCCATGCAGGGCTAGCGGGGCAGGTAGCAGCAACCGAGCAACAACTCCTTGGCTGGAATTGATGGCACGACGCTCTTTCGCTTGTAAAACCAACATGGAATTGCCAATCTCAAGGCGAAGCGCTGTCGTTGCACGGCGCAGGCCGCTTCCCACAATACTCCAAGGCAGCCGAGAAAAAAACAAGATCTGGTGCGACCTCTTTCTGGAATAGTTGTTGTAAGCGGAAGACCTTCAAAGGGTGTTCGAGTCAACTATAGTCAACTACCGGTCGTTCTGCTATGATCAGAGATCTCGGACAGTACAATGATCTGGCATGCTCGCCTGTGTTCGAACTAAGTGGGCTCAGACAAATGTTCTGCAGTTGATTCTACGATTGCTTGCCAGCATGGCCTAAGTCCGCATGCATGCTGCCCTACACAACATCTGACAAACAGCCACGCACAACCAGGAGCGTCACCACGCATGACATGCGAGGCCAAGGGAGGCCATGCGAGTTGCATCTGATTCCTAATAGAACCCTAAACTCTCAACCCTAAACCCTAACCCTAAACCCTAAACCGTATACTCCAAACCCTAAACTCCTGTTAGGAACGGATCACTGGCAATGGTAGTCGGCCTCTTTCCGCTGCGCGTGAACAGCCCTTGGGCCACCTTGTATGGAAGCCGCGTTGAATTGCGGGCATCCGCTGCCTACAAAGCACTTCGTCAAAAATCCGCTTTGGGGTGCAAGCTTCTGATTCATCTTTAAGGACACGTAATTAACAGAGTAGAGTATAGCAGGGTTTAGGGTTTAGGGTTTATAGGGGCTTAAGCACCCGCCGTCAAACCTCCCAGGCCAGAGACTTGATCGCTGCGCGGGGGGCTTGCGCAAAGAGCAAAGAGCTAAACACCGCTCCGGGTTCTAGGCGGCCAATGAACAGCCAGATGGGCAGTTCTCCAAGTCCTGGCCCCTTTGAGAGGGGTACCCTACACAGACAGCTCCTTTTACAAGAGGAAACCCCCAAAAGGGACAGCACTTTAGAGAACCTGCACCTTGTCTTTGTGACAACTGTTCAAAGCGCGGGGTAATGTCCACAGGGATCTCTTGGAGACCTCCCTGAACATTGCACTACTAATTGCTTAAGAACCCCCCCCCAAAAAAATGTAGGGAGTACTATTGCTACTTGTTGGAGGGCTCTGAAGCAAAGTCGCAGTGGAAAGCGCAGTGATGCGCAGTGCATGCAGTGCATGAAGCCGGACTGGCGACCAGCTTGCTTCCAAGCAACAGCTGCTCTCGCCACTTTGCAGGGCGCCTCACTGCGCACTGCGCAGGACTAAAAAATGTGCGGTCTAATTTGCGTTGTGCATGTGCTCCGGGCTCGTTATGCCCAACTGACATCGAAAACTACACCTGCCCGTTGGGAAGACATCCAGGTACCTGCAACAGGGCTCGCGCTCTGAGGCACTTTCTGAGAACTTGAAGCTTACTTGGAGGTTCGTGGTGCTGAATCACCAATTAGAACTGTATTTTCTCACCCACTTATAAGCCCCTTAGTAACCCTCATGTGGTTATAGTTGGGCTATACCTGCAGATACTATTTGGCTAGAAAGTACCATGAACCTCCATGTACCGGGATTGGGAGACTGGGCTGGAAAGGAGGCTCAAACTCCTTCATCAAAAAACTACAAGAGGACATCAATAGGTCCTACTTCAGAGCAATAATAGTCCATCATCATATGACTGATGGTAGCAGCAATAACAAAAAGAGTAACCCTAAACCCCAAACCCTAAACCCTGAACCCCAAATCCCAAACCCTAAACCCTAAACCCTAAACCCTAAACCCTAAATCATAGTCTTTGTGCGGCTCCCGCCTGCTGCAGAGGTTGCGGTACCTTGGCTGCAAGTTGCTGGTGTGCCCTTGCCGGAGTCAAGAGTATCTGCAAGCCACTCGATTAGGGTTTAGGGTTTAGGGTTATAGGGTTTAGGGTTTAGGGTTTAGGGTTTAGGGTTTAGGGTTTAGGGTTTAGGGTTTAGGGTTTAGGGTTTAGGGTTTAGGGTTTAGGGTTTAGGGTTTAGGGTTTAGGGTTTAGGGTTTAGGGTTTAGGGTTTTATGATTCTTGTTAGTATAACTCTTATTATGATGATTACTATTATTGTTGTTTCATATTTATACATTTTCTATACATGCAAGAGTACCTGCAAGCCATGTCATGATTATTGTTGCAATTTTCTATCTTGTTATGTGATGCATGTGTTTCTCTATGTTCTTAGTATATTCTTACTAAGTATGGGCCAAGTGGCTTCGTAACATCACCTGGGCTGCGGCTCTCTTCCCATGTGCCGGCTACTTACGCAGCACAAACGTAGGCATGGATGGCTCTCTTGAGGGTTTAGGGTTTAGGGTTTAGGGTTTAGGGTTTAGGGTTTAGGGGTTAGGGGTTAGGGGTTAGGGGTTAGGGGTTAGGGGTTAGGGCGGGTCTCGGGCCTTTTTCCTTTTGGTGCTACCTTCTGGCCCGGTTCTGGGGAGCAAAAGAGGCTCCCAGCCATGACCATCACCGCCGTGAACCCTAAACCCTAAACCCTAAACCCTAAACCCTAAACCGTCAAGGCGCCGAATGCCAACTCGTAGATGAAAAACACATAGCAGAAGGTTGCCGCGACTTTGATCAGGGTCAGCCCGAACATCTGGCCTGGCTGTAGGTGCCGCGTAAACTTGGGCCTAGTGTCTGCTGACCCTAAACCCTAAACCCTAAACCCTAAGCCCTAAGCCCTAGACCCTAAACCCTAGACCCTAAACCCTAAACCCTAGACCCTAAACCCTAAACCCTAAACCCTAAACCTTTGCCGTCGCTTCATGACAGGTGCAGTCAGGAGAAACATGCCAAGCAGCAGTTGGCAGAGTTGTAGCAAAGCGCAACTCTGTACTGGTAGAATGTCAGCTGAACCTTCTCCTCAGGAGCTTTTAGGGTTTAGGGTTTAGGGTTTCAGGTTTAGGGTTTAGGGTTTAGGGTTTAGGGTGGTAGAGTTTAGGGTTTAAGGCTACCCCGAAACCTAGACCCCAAAAGACTAAGACCCGAAGCTGTTGCTGCGCGCCCAAACTTGGCGCGGAAGGCTTCAGACCAGGTCTTCTGCCAAGCGCCAAACCCTAAACCCTAAACCCTAAATCCTAAACCCTAAACCCTAAACCCTAAACCCTAAACAGATCTGCCGAGCATCCTTGAACTTGAAGGAGGAGAAGCCAGTAAACAGGATCGCGGGAATTTGCAGGATGTATGTCAGGGTCAGCAGTGGGATGATCAGGGATCCCATGGTGTGGGTAAGCATGAACATCTTCCCACCTGCAGGACGGGTTTAGGGTTTGGGGTTTAGGGTTTAGGTTTAGGGTGTAGGGTCTGGGGCTTAGAGGCTCAACACCAACATTGTGATCTGGCATGCCATGAAGGCTCACGATCCATGTGCTCACTGAGCCATTTGGGGGTGTACGAACATATGGGTACTCTTTTGGGATTTGGGGTTTAGGGTTTAGGGTTGAGGGTTTAGGGTTTAGGGGTTCTTAGATGAAGATCATTCTAGTTTGGGGGCACATTAAGGGTACCCCTACTTGGGGAAGCAGCCATCTGG